TTTTTTGTTGTCTGCTTATGTATCAAATTTTATTAGGAGTTTTTAGCAAAAATGTTTTTTGTATATTGAGTGTCTCATTGGCTTGGGAAAAAAGGAGAAAAGGATGTTTTTACTTGTTTTTCAAGCTTTTTATTGGTTTGAGTGATACTTTTAAGGCTTCTTTTCAATGAGCCATGAAGGTGTTTTTTAAGTTTGCTTTTTTAAAGTATATTGATATCATTTACTGTAAAGATAGTAATTATTATTCAGTAGGTAAGCTCTTAACATTTAATGACTGTAGTGGATATTATTTTTCGAAATCGTAGTATCTCCTTCTAGCAAGAGTTTGCATTGAATTAGCATGGATGTAGCATGTTTTTTTCTTGCGGAAATTTTTTTTAATTAGGTAAATTTTAATTTCTAGTCTTTTAGCGGTAAATCTGAAGCTTACATGTATAATCTCTGCATGTGTAATTATCATTTAAGCTTGGTAATATCATTCTTTAAGAAAATGTAACCACACTTACACACTGAATTTAGTAGTGAAGGAACAAGAAAGATTTTGTTCAAATAAGAACCACTTTTAGGTTCACAAATGATATCTAAAATTATTCCAAGACAAGAATAGAGAGAGCTAATGCCAGTATGCTAAACCTCCATCCTCTTGTCTGGGTTATTTTAATCTGGGTGCTGTTCCTTTGACCTTTGACCTTTGTCCATGTGGCTATAAGGTGTTTTGCTGTGTAGACTATGTTAAGTTTCTCATGGGAAATATTTACACTTAGATTTGTTGGTGTGAAGTGCTGTCGATGTGTGAAACAGCTTTAACCAGTTGCTGCCAGATTACAGCTGTTACATGTGCCCTTTCTTGTTATCTTTGTAAGGCACTAAATCCTTGCCACCTGTTTAAAGTTGACTTTCTTTCTCTCTTTCACTATTTTTATTCCCATCTCTATTTTTCTCCTATTACTTTATTATTTTCTTCTCTGTCTCTCCCATTTCTCTCTCACTCTCATCTCTCTCTCTCTCTCTCTCTCTCTCTCTCTCTCTCTCTCTCTCTCTCTCTCTCTCTCTCTCTCTCTCTCTCTCTCTCTCTCTCTCTCTCTCTCTCTCTCTCTCTCTCTCTCTCTCTCTCTCTCTCTTTCTCTCTCTCTCTCTGTCTCTCTCTCCTCCCCATTTTCTCCCTTTCTCCTTTTCTACCTTTCTCCCTTTCTCCCTTTCTTCCCCCCTCCCTCCATCACCGTACTGGTTAACGATTGATTGTTTCTCATTGAATTGAGACCATTTCATAGGATGTCAGCCTGGTAAATTGCAAATAAGACTTTAGTCCACACAGCAGAACATCTTAAGGAGCTTTTGATACATTAGAAACAGAAGTATTATTTCTAATATTTATGCCTGGTAGAGTTGGGGGTAATATTCTTGAGAAATGTATCATGCTATCTCTTCATGGGGAGTTTTTGAATTTGGGGTAGATGATTTGAAAACAAAAGTTCCCCCTCCCCCACTAGTTGCCGTCAGAGGCACACCACGGCATGATGACACAGGATCATATATTTTCCTCTTTTTTCAGACGTAGACCTATGGGTGCACTCCTGCCCTACACGCAAGCATTTTCTAATGGGTTTGGTACCTCTCCTCTCTCCTCTGCTATTGGAATGAATGCAAATGCTCTTGAGTGAGGACCTCAAAGCAAGAGTAATTTGGTTAGAGGTTTATTCTTTTTTTCTCTCTCTTCTATTTATGTATCTTCAGTATAGGAACCAGCTTCTTTGTCTCTATTGTAGTTTCTTCAGTTCTTCATGATGGAACAAACAATGTAATTTATTTCCTTGTTTATACTTTTATTAAAGTGGAATTGTATATTTCTCTTTTACTATGTAAAATATAAATGGAGAGCTCATGAGTTTTCTTGGAATCATGTCCTGGTTCTTTTTTACCAGAATGTGTGTGTATGTATGTATGTATGTATGCGTGTGTGTGTGTGTGTGTGCGTGTTATTGAGATAGTGAATATACATGGGAGTTGGTAGAGTGAGAGAGAATGTGTTTGTGTGTGGGTGTTGGTATATGAACGCACGCTTATGGACCTGTGTGTAAATGTTCATAACGTAACAAAAATAGGAGTTATTTTATATCCAATTTATGGACACAAAGAGTGTTTGCAAGAGGAATTGATAGTATTTTTGAAGAACAAGCCTTCTAATCTGTATATTAGATTGTATTACTAAGAGTATACAGTCTTGTGTTCAGCATTTGGAAAAAGAAATCTCACCCCTTATCCCAGTAGATACTTCTAATCTTTTGGTTAAGGTTTCTAAATCTCAAATAGAAATACTAGTGTTGTAAAAAATCAAAATTATTAACACGCTCTTGGCTGGGATATTTACGAAGTAGTTAAGTTCTCAGTATGTTGTTTTTTGGAGATACTGATATTAAGAGGATTGATATTATTATTATTATTATTCTAAGTTCAAACGAGCCAAGGAAAGGAAATTACTTAGGTAATTAGAAATTATCTTCTATTTTCTTAATAGCAAGGAATGTGTCAATATCCAAGAGATATTCATAATGCTCAATAAATATTGTGAAAAAACTATTTATCAGTGTCCTTTCATGTGGAGGTTGACATTTCATTTCATTTATAGGATGAAAATATATGTGGAAAAGTAAAGAGCATTTTAGAAATGTAATTTACGTACTTGTATTGTTTTCATTATTTTTAGTAATTTATTTAATTACTGTTTTATTTTTTATTTATTTATTTATTACATAAAAGCCTACATGTTACAGTGTTTTCAGTGTAATGTTTTTCATGCCATCTACAAGCAAATGAGTCACCCATATAAACATGAATTTTGTACATATTTACTCATTCCATTTTGAACTTGCACTTCCACACAGGACTACATTTGCTGTTGTTTGTTAAAATTGTAAACAAAGTAACAGTTTTGTTGCAGAGATTTACTGTAACCATATAAATGTTCTAATCAATAAAACTTGAGATCAGGCCATTATTACTAAACAATGGGTTATATGTGTGTAGAGATGCTATTTTCATAGTAACATCTGAGGCAAATATGGTGGTTAACTATGAAAATTATGTCATTAGTGATTGTGCAGTAAATTTTTAAATACAAATTTTGTTTTTCTATTCCCAATACTGAATTTGCATTTATATTTTTTAAATTATTCATTTTATCCTGATGCTTGACTAACATTATGTGGTCCAAAATATGGGTATTGGGCTTACATGAGCGGCCACTCTGACCGGTGTGGGGCTTGTGGGCCAGGCGCAAACGAACACGTGTGAAGTGACAAGATTGTCTGCTTTTTCTTTACAAGATTATTTTTTCTTTTCCTGTATAAGCATTTTTAGCTTTTATGCCATTTTCCAATGTCTATATTTGTCATTTAATTTGCTTTATCCAGATGGTAAAAGACTTTCCCTTGCACAGACTCCATATCATCTCTTTATGTAGTCTATAACTCAGTGCAATAACAACAGTAATTAACTTCTAAAAAATATTATTAATATTCAATTTTTTGTAATATTTGCACTGCCATTCATAGTGGGCAGGAGTAAGATCCTGGAAATAATTTAAAAGACCTTTACTAAACACCTTCCAAGAGGTTTATACTCTCAGTGCAAGTCTTTCCTGTCACCCTGGCCCTCAGCTGAAATGCTTACAATCGTTTATTGCGTCACCCTGGCCCTCAACCAAATTTTCCCATGACACCCTGGCCCTCAGCTGAAATGCTTACGATGGTATATTGCATCACCCTGGCCCTCAACCAAATTTTCCCTTGACATGTTCATGCCAAATTTTTTCACATTTCATCATCCAGAGCAATGGGTTAATGTGATTGATGATCCTTATACCATTCAGAGGCTGCAGTACAGGATGAGGAACCAAGTCAAAGTCATCCCTGACCCAGCTATGTAATAAAAGATATAAATCCTGAAAAGGAAAATGAATGATAGGGATAGAATTGTAATAGAAACAAAAATGCAAAAGCAACTAATTTGACTTTATGCTAAGGAGTACCTACATGGTTGAAAAATCATCTTAGTGTTTCATATCCCTAACACTGCTGTAAATGCCTCATGATGCCAGTGACAACCCTTTTGTTATTCTTCTGGTTTTGTGTAACATTCATTATATAGATTAAAGTCTTTCTCTTTCTTTTTGGTTAATTTATAAATGCATTCACAGGTTTCATACAACTGGCAGTGATGCCAACTCCCCACTAATGCATGAGGAAACCATATCTTAAGGATTGAATTAACTTGGATAACATGACCAATTATTATGAAATATAATCGAAGAAATATGTGCACAAGGAATTTAATTTTATGCATGAAATGTGTTTATCAGCATAATCATAAACATTCCCTCCCCCCCTAATATATACAGCTCTTCATGTGTCACTGGGTATACTGTAATTTGGTCTGTACAGAAACTATTCAGAGTTTTAAGACTTTATGCTCCTGTAAACTTTACTCTGAATTTAATCCTTACATTCATTTAGCCACCACTCGATAAAACTTCTTCTTAACCCTATGGTGAAGGCGCCTGATTTATTTATGATGTAATCTTACGCAACAGTCTAGACTTTGTGGCTAGGCCTAAGCTGTGTACAGCTAGCCGACCCACTGCAAGTCATGATGCTTATAAATGTCAAGGGCTGTTATGTCAGCTATAGCTGTACCAATCAACGAGAAGTTAAAAGGCATCAAATGGCTAGAGGACAGTAGAGCAAAGTTGTTGCTACACATTCCCAGTTTCCCCCATTTTATTAAGTGGATCATGACTTGCAATACTGGAAGGTAAGATATAAATAGTGGTAAACTTGGAGGCACTAAATGGTCCAGTGATTTTCTTCTAATCTAAATCACTATTATTAATATATAATATGTGTTAAAGTGTATTTCTAAGTCAATTTTTAAGCAACATATGGTATTTTTCCTACAGCTATTTAAAGATTTGTATTTAAATGGAGGGCTAGATAAAGTCTGACCATACATCATACATATATACATATATTTATTTTCCATGGGAAGGATAAAAGTTGAGATTTTTTTTCAGCCATTTTACTGGAAAAAAGGAAAACATGGGTTTAAAATTACCTGTCAAACATAACAAACTATATTACACATGTAAATTAATGGAAACACCATGAGAAACATTCTTTCAGGCTTAGAAAAATACTTCCAATGCAAAATGCTTGCCAACCGCACAATTTTCTAGAACATGAATCTTACATGTTTTAAATATCAACCATTTGCACAATCTGTCTCCAGTCTTAGCTTTGCATTAACTTTCATACTGCTTCAAATTCAAACTCATGAAAAAAATTCATACATAATGAATACATAACCATATATAGCTGTGCTATAAATAACACTTTCCCTCCGTATTTGTCTTACCAGACTTAAAAAATGGTAATCAAATATATAAAGTCACTTTCATTCACTTTTTTATTTACTTTGATATACTAATATCTACAATCATTTCTTCACTTTCTTCTCTTTCTTAATTTTTTTCCCTTTCTTTTCTTTGTTCCCTTTAATTCCTTTCTTTCCAGTCATTACTTTCTTTACTTTTACTTCTTTCTTTCCACCAACTTCTTTCTGTTCTTCTGTTTCTTTACTTTCAGTCACAGCATTTGTTTCTTTTAGGTCTTGCTTTTCATCCTGGATTTCTTTCTTATTTATTTTTTTCTTTCCCTTAACTACTTTCTTTCCCTTTACAACTTTCTTTTCATTTGATGCTTCCTTTCCATTCACTGCTTTCTTTCCCTTTACAACTTTCTTTTCATTTGATACTTCCTTTCCATTCATTCCATTCACTGCTTTCTTTCCATTCAATACTTTCTTTCCATTCAATACTTTCTTCCCCGTCAGCACTTTCTTTCCCGTCAATGCATTCCCTGATTTTTTTCCTTTCTTTGCTTTCTTTTCTTCCTCTTCTTGCTCCTCTTCCTTTTGCTCAGTCTCCTCCATCTCTTCTGCTGTCTCTTCTGTCGTATCTTCCTGTACCATAATTCTTGGTCCATCATCCAGTTTCTTCAACTTTGCAACAAAGAAGCCATCCATGTTGTAGGCATGGGGGTACACACGCTTGCACAGGTGCATGTTGGGGTCAAACCTGAAATATATTTATTTGTGTATTAAAATGAAGGCCATCTTTCACTTGCAGTGCATTCAGTTTGGATATATAAGAAGCCACACCCCTTTTGTAATCGGACTAAACGTCATCATTTGACATCCAACCCAAAGGCTGATAACATATAATAATATTGCACAATAAAAGAACTCTTTGTATTGCAATATTCCTCTATACAATCATGCATGTCCTTGTGGAAAAAAAGGATGAAAAGATCAGGAGAAGCTATAGTTATTTGAGGAAATTATGTGTAAGAAAGATAGGTGAAAAATATCATGACACTTTTTACTCATCACTCATTTTCAAAACTATTATAAAATTAATCCAAAAATAAAGTAGGACCTTTAATATGGGAGGTTATCAATGATCACTATGGTCACTGCAAAAATTATGCATGAACAAAGGCAAACTTAAAGTAGTTTTCTTAATGGAAGAATTTGTAAACATACAGGCTTTATTCACTCCCTATTCTGATTATAATTACTGATCATGTGACCAGTGGCAGGAAATTATGTGGTGCCATCCACAGAAATAGAAAATGCACTTATAATCTTAACCATCCAATCGTATGTGCCAGAATTAATATAATTAACCCTTTACCAACAATTAACATTATTTTTTGCATTAACACCGTCAGCCCAAATGCCAGGCAGCAATGAAGTCCGCCCTAAATAGTTGTTCACTTGTTTTCCTCTGACTGCTGCTACTGAAGAGTTGCAGCCTCTCAAAAGAAGGGTTAAAGTATGTTTTAACTTCAATTTACAGGAAATTTGTGTCACATGCAAACCAGGGAGGGGATGTATTCCCTATGCCTCTAAGTTTTCACTAGAGGTGCTGACTACACACACACCACAGCACATTGCTCAGTTTGGCACAGGAAAAAAAAATCACCATTGGGTTAATGGTGCATTAGATACACAACTGCAATTGATGAAAAAATAAACTTGATGTTAAAGTCAGCCAGCCATATCAGAAGAGGGTAGGGCTTATATATCCAGATAGAATGCACTATACATGCTTGCTACATGCAATTACCTACATAATCATCCATCAGTCCATCCACGAAGACATACTTTTCTAATTGTACATTAATATTAAGTTTTTCATATGAATATCAAATAAAATATAACAAACATCTACATAATAATAATGATAATGACAAAAATATTACATCAACATCTAAAGAACATGTGCAATGTAAACATAATAATGTTGAGAATATATAAGAAATACAATTACACCAGATCTTTTTCCACTTTCTTACTACTTCATGTCCTTTGAAAGCAGTAGAGCAAAATAATTTGTTTCCCTGTTCGTCCCTTCATTTCTTAATTTACAATTCGTTCAGCACAAATATTTTATGTAAACTCACTTGTGCCCTCTGTAGTGAATATATCCTGGCTTGCCAATTTCTAAGCCTGTTGGCACTAGCTTCACTTTCCTCTTCCTCAAGGCATAGTCAATTACTTCCTCGTTTTCTTCCACCTGTTTGGGAGAAAATGGTATCAAACATGTAAATGACGGAGATGATGATGATAATTTTTTTCTTTTTTAACTATCTCAACAATACAACAAAAATCTGTTTAAACACTGACCAAGATGGAGCACGTGGAATAGACGACATAGCCATTTTCTCCATTGTATTTGTGTACAGAGTCAATGGCTGCCAGCAGGAGTTCTCGCTGGAGGTGAGAGCATCTTTGAATATCCTTGGCATCCTTGGTAATCTTCACACTCTCGTCTTTGCTAATGACACCTGTGCCCGAACAGGGAGCATCTAGCAGAATGCGGTCAAAGGCTCCGGGCATTTTCTGGAAGTAAGAGAAAATATTCAGTTTTAGCATTTCCCATAGAACCAACAATGTTTCCTTCCATGACTCCCTGCATCTGAGTACCAATTCATACCTGAGTAAATATAAAGCAGAGAGGCATATGCAAATATGAATGAGGCTCTTACAACTAAACCCTTACCTTGGCAAATACACGGCCATCCATGTTAGTAATCAAGGAATTGGTGATTCCCATTCTGTGAAAGTTGCCCACGAGCGCTTTAACTCGAGCAGCATGTACATCGTTACTGACAATCATACCAGTATTTTTCATGATAGCAGCTGGAAAGAAAATTGTTCAACATTAGAGATGTTTTTTAATACATGTTGCAGGATCATTAGTTAATATCAAACTCAATCTTTCATTCAAATGTATTACATAAACTTATGGCCTGCATTATATATCCATCTGATAAAGAAGATAAAAACATGTTTTCACCCAATATGATCTTCATATAAAAGGGGATTTCTTACCAATATGTGTTGACTTTCCACCTGGTGCAGCACACATGTCAAGCACTTTTTCTCCACTTTTGGGTGCCAGAGCCATCACTGGAAGGAAACTTGATGCTCCCTGTCATAGAAAAAAATATAAATATCTATCAAACTCATGACATAACTACATGATACAGTGATGAGTATCCTCCAGACCAATATGCTCCATAGAAATGGGAATAAAAGCTGAATTCCTAAGTTAAATCAGACAAATAGTCCAATGTTTAAAATTCTTGTTTTCAACTCTAGAAAATCATTATCCCCAGTCAAAACAGAAAAATAAAAGTTTTGGTTTAACATAGACTACCACCTCACCTGTAAAAGGTACTGTCCAGCGAGGTACTGTGGTGTGGCTCCCAGTGCTACTGATCCAGGAGTCTGCATGACGACGAGGCCCACCTTTGACCACGCAATTACATCAACATCTACACCCTGGTCGATGAGTGCACTGGCCAAGAGCTTTCGTCGCGTCTGATGATGAGGTAAACCATAAGCGGTCTTGACATCTTTGAAGACTTGAATGTATCACAGTCAAATAGCTCCCAACCATAAACTAGCCTACAGCATATTCAAACATTCTTTCAACAAGATCATAACGGCTCTCAAGCTCATAACATAAATTATCTATTCTTATAAAAACATCTGACATTAGTACTTCTGACTCTGATACCGGGCAAGAAAGGGAGAATACTTCCACTCACTTTCAGGGTATTGGTGCGGATGGTCACCGGTCTTGGGCGCTCGTTAGCCTCCAGGAACTCAACTAGCTCTGTGACGCCAAACATATGTAAGAGCTTCTCCATGAGGTACTCATTATAGGAGTAGTATGTGGTGAGATCTTTCAGAAAGATGCTTAGGTACTCTGACCGACTTCTTCCCTCTTCTCTTCTATTACTGCAAAGTCAAAAGCAATGTCTAAAAAATCAGCACAATAATTCATAAATCAAGTACAAAGTAACTAAATGTTAAAATCAAAAGGCAAACATAATAAACATGTCACACAAAAGTGAAGAAAAAACATGAAACACCAACCTGAAATCAGACAGTATGAAAGCAATGTCCTTGATACGGGCCTGGACGTTTGCCAGGTCTGGATTTTCCGCCAATTCTTTCTCCACTTCTTCGATGGTTGGTATCTGTATTTCGATTTTCCCGGCTGCTTCTTCCATATACGCATCACCTTCAGCACTGTAAATAATAAACAGGGTTTGATTTGAGTTTCAGAATTTTGGATACAATATACATAAGTAAATGATTTTATCATTTCTCAGTTCAATACCTTCTCTTGAATTCAGTGCAAACATTTTCTGGAACTAAATACAAATTCAACCAGCTTTGAATATATACTGGCTGTAGGACCAATTAGTACATACTCATATACATACATATATATGTATACTACATATAACATTCATTACATGTACTTACTCCTCAGCTTTCTTTTTCTTTTCCAATTTTCTTGATAGTTTTTCTATGTCATCATCATAATCATCGTCTTCATCAAACTCATCATAACTATCAACATCGTCTTCATCCATTTCATCAAAGCCATTCACGTCGTCATCATCGTCATCATCAAACAAAGTAGATTTTGGTTTTCCGCTGGTCTGTTCCTCCAGCTCTTCGTCTGACACTTCTGAAGAGTCGAGTTCTTGTCCATCACTGCCAGCATCTTCTTCTAATCCCATTAAAAAAAGAAAATATAATAAAATACTATTCTGTACATTTATCAATAAATATACATTAGGTCAGAAACTACTTCTTATGTGCATTTCAGCAGCATAATTACCAAGTAGTCAAACATACTTCATTTCTTTTCTCATATTCTTGACAAAGTAAAAGAAATTTCCTCCTCTGTACCCCTGTCATCCCTGTCTCTATTATAGTCCTTTTCTTCTTTTTTCTTTCAAAGTCTCAAAAGAAACAATGTCCTACCTTCTGATTCCGGTGCCCAATTCCTGGCTTTCTTCGGAGGGACACTCTCTGGTTCTTTATTTTTCATTTTACGTTTCCTGGCTCGAAGTTTCTGTCTTCTACTAAGCTTCTTTTCTTCTCCATCTTCATCTGTCAAGGAAAATGCAGGTGTTACTACTAAAATGCCAATCAAGGTGTCAACACAAGTAGGAATAATTCAATTGTGTGTGCCTTCTACTAATGATTAACAAAATTGGCTTTCCTCATGGTTGTGTCTTAGTCTTGATCTGTAAGTACTGCCAGTGCAGTTTGATAGCTTAGAAAAAAGTATTATATGTAGCTACATCAAAATTAATCAAGATGTCATTGTAGTAGCAGTGATTCAATTATACAAGAGAAAGTAGCTGAATCTTTTAAACAAAAACATAAGATTATACCCTTTTATTCATAAAATTTCTTCAAACTTGGATATCTACATATATCCCAAAAAACTACTTTGAAGCATGGAAGAAATAACTCAACAGGTAATAATGAATCGTAATTTGCATTCATTATAAGAGAAAATATCCATCCACTGTCAAGAGTAAACTCCCAAGACAGCCCTCCATCAAATATATACTGTCTATCCTAACAACCCATTGTATGCTGATACATGTATCTATTGTGTTTATTTTTTAATTATATTGCAAACAGATGGCTCCACAAGTACTCTGCAACTAAGGAGTCAATTGGTAAGCCCAACTTGGCCTGATCTGATTTCACCACTCCTTAAACCATGTTTTTTTTCACTTCTTCACCAATCATGATACTGCTTCAATTTGTTCCTTACTCGACATATACTTCCAGTCTGTAAACAAACTGAAAGACACTCTTGAAGTCTCACTCCATATTTCATAACAACAATATCATAAAAGAAACTCTTAGATCTTAACAATTTACCATCACTAAGTATCATATACCTTTAATACCACCACTATAATTAATGGAGAATTAATAATCCTAATTGCCCAAACATTGGCTGGGTATCCTTACACTTTCCTAGCACTGATTTTTGGGTTCTCACCAAATAAAAATGTGGTCGCTGGACCAAAGCAAGTCAACATCCTCACTTTCTTGCTTTGGAATGTCACTAGTTCACTCTACAGATTAGCTGACTGACCAATACATACCTCCCAGACTGTGAAGTTTGAAAGATGCACAGGGCAAGTCATCTACCTTCCTGTACAGTTATCATCAGCGGAACAATGTATTTTTCCAAAAAAAAAAATTAAATTTACTGTTCGTACCACAAAATACTCATAGATTCTTGGAAAATACAACAGATACATCACAAAGTTAACTGAAAAAGATCAAACAACAATAACCACAAAAAATCCCAAGAAGTTAAGCAAAGAAATTGAACTTTCATTTGACCAGAGTGGCAAATAAGTTCTGGATGGAATAGCTCAAACTTTGCGGTATAGCAGAATACTTCCATACTCAATGTATCCTTGCTGCATTTAGATGTGGTGGTATATAACATGTTTTAGGTTTAATTTCCTGTCACATTTCTATTTTACTGCAAATAAAAATAGTAAATCCCATGGTCCTTCTATAGTATTGGTTTAGAAATTAGGTTGAGAAACTAAGCTTTTTTGCTATTAAAGTAGTCATTGCAGTATGATTAAAGTATAATTTGTCAACAATGCATAAATTCCTAGTTTTGCCATTTTTCCATATTCTGCATCAAATACCTTAGTTTATCTTTAAAATATGGATTCACTAAGCAAATTCTTACAGAGAACAAAAAGTTGCAGTTGTTGGTACAAGAAATAATCTGTTAGCACCATAAATAAAGGAAAAATATCATAAAAAGCAGAACTCCGAACGTAAGTCTAGGTGGCGCTCCCAAATTTTTTTTTCTACCTTGGCATGCATGACAAGGTGAAAAGAATGTTTGCCAGGGTATGTTGGGGGGCAAAACAGCCCCATCTACTGGACAGTGCCTGAAAGGTATGCCTAGTCACGGCAACTTAAAGTGATGAAAAAATTGTGACATGGAGTTGGGAACTTAGTCTTTGATGAGTGCATCCATACTATAGCGAATTACCAATACCCTCTATGCTCTCATTTGTGATGACTTTTACATGGAGAAAAGTATTTCAAAATTGTATAAAAGTACCAAGCGGATGCACTACGGCACCAAGAGTGATGGACGGCGACAGGGGGAAATGGACACCGCCATCTTATTGAGCAAAAGAAATAGAGTAAAAAGTAACATAGGTAAAGCTGCAACATCCCCATATTTACTGGAAAATGACGAAAATGTTCTCTACATATCACCACTCAGAGACCAAGTCCACAAACCCTAACATAGCCAGAGTTCTTAATGTCTATTTTCTATAAGTTGGCACAAAGTGCTAATAAATGGGGGGTACAGGAAATAAAAGAAGCTAGGTTAATTTTTGCTCTTTCGTTCACATATACCATTTACCGCCTGTGATCTCAATCTCAATAGTGACGACTATTAAAACCTTTAAATATATCAACACAACTGTTTATGTGGTATTTTCTATATTACATCCGCATGAACCGATATCGACAATTTTGTATCGTTGGAATTCCTCTCACTCTCCACATTGCAAATATATAGTTATTATTGCGCGCTAACCCCCCGTTAGCGACAAACTTGGGTCCCGATAGCAGGGGAGGGCATGAAGGTTCCAGGGAAATGCGGGTTAAAATAGCACTAATAATATAACGACAGTGAAAAAAACCATGGTTATTCACATAACTTTCCATAATAACCATGGTCCATAATAACATGTTATTCACTTAACTTTCCATTGCAGGGGGCTGCGCCCCTGCGACCCACCCCTGGGGGGGGCTGCCCGCCCCAACCCCCGCCGAGGAAACAAAACCTCCACCACGTATTCACGGCAGGCTAGAGCGTTACACAATCATCGTCGATGTCGGAGCAGGGGGCGTATTACCTCGTAAGATTCTCACTGAATCAGCATATTAACCTTATTATAATCAGCATTGTATATAGAGACGATTGTAGTAGTATAATCAGGATAAACACGGTGGCCCGCCCTCGTCGGCGGGGTTTTGCGCCTTTTTCGATGTTACACCGATGGCCTCAAAGTCGAGTTTCCCTTCCTCTGGAATAACGACATTCGTATTCCTAACCGAAATAACCGTCGCGTTCAGAAGACAGTCATAGTCGCCGCGATGGCCGAGTGTGGAGGGTGCTCGTACTCCGAGACGGATTTTCTGCGCGAGATTGCCATTAGCCAAGAAAAAATGCTAGATATGTGCTTCCGCCACGCCTCCTTCGTCGTGAGAAAGATTGCGGCAGGTGCGGGCAGCCAGCACCTGAATGTGAGGTTGCATCACTTCCTGTGTGCTGCAGCGGCAAAGGAGCACCCTCCCTAGTAATTAGCGGCATTAATAAATCAGGTAGTACCTTAAAAAATCCTAGTTATTGTTATAGTTATCGGCTCCGCATCTAGTTCGTGTGCGCTCTATCCTGCCGTGAATACATGGTGGAGGTTTTGTTTCTCGGCGGGGTTGGGGGGCGGCAGCCCCCTGCAATGGAAAGTCATGTGAATAACTATGGTTATTTTCACTGTGAGGTTAAATATTAGGGTAATTTTCTAAATTACGTTGGTGCCGACATCGTCGCCCCCGGCAATCGGACCAGTTTGTCGCTAACGGGGGGTTAGCGCGCAATAAAACCTATCTATTTGCATTGTATAGAGTGAGAGGAATCCAACGATACCAAATCGTCGACATCGGTCATGCGGACGTAATATAGAAAAAAATTACCGTTATCTCAAACTCAATAGTGACGACTAATTAAACCTTTAAATATATCAACACAACTGTTTATGTGACCAATCACAGAATATTTAGCATGCTGTAGTGACATACAACGAGAAACTAGCTTAAAATTCTGGAAAATAAAATCCAACCATCCAAATTATCCATCAATATGATTAGAGTTGTGACATGTGACCCAAACCCCACAGGTAATCTCTATACCAAAATAATGTAAGCTCTCATAACGTATTTCAGAACTATATCGAAAGTCCAGCCCTAAGCAACCAAAAAATCACACATTCCCAAAAAACTCTAAAAACGTAAAACCACACGTACACATACATTCAGAAATCCCATCTCATCTAACCATCACTCTTACACGAACCAAACGCTAATTCTCTTCACAGCTCATACCTTTGAATTGGAAAACTGGCGCCTGCTGCTTTTTAGCCTTTCTTCCCGGCCCTTTCTTCGGTTTTAGGTGGTAATTGGCTGCACGACCCATGCTGCCGACGACCTCGCTCCCTGAACGTGTTTACGTTGAGGTTGCTCCGCGTGGTGGA